GTGGCTACCACCACCACCTGTGAGCCTTCACTGCCTCTGACACCCTGGTCTTGGACTGTTCCTGGAAGTATAGCTCTTGAGGACAGCAATAAACAAACCTGGGGAGTCTCTCTCAGGACTTCCTGTTCGTCCATCTTGCCCACCCACACGCTTCATCACCAGGAAGCCTGGGAGGAGGTGGAGGAGGGGCTGTTTTTGTGGGCCTTTGGAGAAAGGTGCATGCATGGAACTCTGAGCTAAGTGCCCTGGTCTGTGGATGTACGAAATGTAATGGGATTATAGGACACTGGACCCAGACAAATCGAATATCCTGTCATCAGTCTTCAGTGTTTTTTTTGAAACTGAGACAACAGGGTCTGGTGTGCCAGCCTCGCTCACCAGTATGGCATTCCAGCTGTCATCTTAAATAAGGTCAACAAACCACCAACGTTGTTTCCTCCCTGCAGAACTGGGTGCTTTCTTGAGATTAGGTCTGGGTGCTCTCTGGCAATTGGGAGCATGGAGGTGGGGACACAGCCACCTCACATTCCACTCTACCCTCAAACATTTAAAGCAGAGGCACGGGTGGGTGAGTGACTGACACATTTGCCACATCGCTTTGCGCCACCCAAACCCAGGCTCTGATCACGTTTCCTTTAGGCCACTGTCACTGACATCCCCAACCTTCCAGGGGCTGAAGGACTAAGTTTCCCACAGGGGACGAAGGGGAAGGGCTCCAGCGGTCAAGGCTATGTCGCTTGCTTTAGGTACCCACTAGACTGTAAAGGTTGCTCAGATGGCCATGACCTGACTTGTTTGCAATCCCAGTCACTGTCTTGCTTGGGTACTTCCTTCCACTCTGCCCCACATGTCTGGTCCACCTTGAAGCACATCCCGGATGCCCTCTTTCCCTTCAGCCGCTGATACGCTCTGGCTCTCAGGCCAACCCGGCCTTGTCCTCCACCCTGAACTCTTGCCCTTATCCTGTCAGTGCCTGTTCAGTGTCCCCTCCTGCAGAGAAAGGTCTCTCTCAAACCTGTCAGTCACTGGTCATACAACTGGGCGTCTTGCAGGCCGGGAAAGTTGAAGTTCTGCAGCCTACGTTATGGGCTCAGAAGAACTCGAAGAGGCAGCCATATAAAAACAAATAACCTCTGAACAGATCTTCAAGTTTGTTTGTTTTTTCTCTTATATTCTATGTGAGATGACCGCAAAGCATCATGCCCTCCTGGTCATGTGACTTATGAACAGGGCTTGGCTGAGAAAACCAGAGGCCACACCCACAATCTAGTCCATTAGAAAGGAGAGAGGGGGGAGAAAAGAGGCTGATGGAGCAAGGAGCAGTGACGAGCCCCACCTTTTCTCATGCTCACGGCTACTTGTTCGAAGAACAATGATAACATGGTTAATATAATTCTTGATTCATGTTCAAGGTCTTTTGCATGTATATATGTATGTACCTGTGTGTGTATATGTGTGTGTGTGTATGCATGCAAATATGTGTGTGACTAGAAGTGGACACTGGGTATTTCCCTCCATCCTGCTCCACCTTATTTTCTGAGACAGGGTCCCCCACCATTTGCTGAGTGTGTCAATTCAATTAGACTGTCTGGCTGTCAAGCCCCAGAGAACTTCCTGCCTCTGCCTCCCCAGAGCCTGGGTGACAGGCACATGCTGCCATGTCCAGCTTTATGTGGGTAGCTATGGGAGGGGGCAGGGTGCCTGAACTCAGGTTCTCGGGTTTGTGTAGCCAGTATTCCCACCGACTGAGCCACCTTCCCAGTTCCCCAAGGTCTAAATAAGAAGAGAAAGGGCTTTCTTAATTATACCAGAACTGACCGCGCAAGACTTGATTTCTCTGCAAGGGTTCTAATACAATGGAATGAGAGCTGTCTCCGTGGATTATTTTAGTATTTGCACCAAAAATACCAGCAGGGTGAAGTGCGTGGCCACCTCCACCCAGAGAGAGGTGCAAGCTTACTCACTCTCCCATTGCTGGGATAAGATCCCTACAAAAGCGACTCAAGGAAGCGCGGGCTTATTTTGGCCCTCAGGTCCCGGTATGGTCTATCATGCGGAGGAAGGCAAGATGTCAGGAGCGTGGGGCAGCTGGAGGCGTTGCATCCACAGTCAGGAAGCCGATGAATACTGATGGTCGGTTGGCTCTTTCCTTTCTATTCAGTCCGGACTTCAATTCATGGGATGGTGCGGCCCACAATCAAGGATCTTCCTTGCCCAGTTAGCCCAGTATAGAAACTCTCGCACAGCCAGGCCTATACGTTTGTTCCTAAGTGATCTTAGATGCTGTCAAGCTGACAAATGTCAGCAATCACCCTTTTACTGTCCCCAGGTACCACCAGAGAAGTCCTTCTTACTGTGGCCCAATCCTGACACGTCAGGCCTGTTGGGTGATAGGGGCATCTGAATTTTCATCCTCCTGCATCATGGCAGGGGTCTGGTTTTCTGCACTCCTGTCTACATCCGGGATAAACAAGCCATGCAGGTCCAGGTGCATGTCTGCATCCACAGAAGCACGAGCCAATTCCGTAAAAGTTTTGGCGTCCAGAATAAGGAGAAAAGGCAGCTTTTGGGGATCAGTAGAGACAATGGCTGATAGGATCACTCCTACAGGAAGACAGACAAAACCCAGTTTATTTTCACTCGCAGAGCTGAGAATGTGATCCCGGGCCTTCTCGCAGGCTTGGCAGCTGCTCTACCCATGAGCTCCACTCCTGCTCCTAAGAGATACCTAACAGTGTCCAATGTATAAGCTCTGCGCATCCTCCACCTGGAGAGGGACATTTCTCAGAGGTGCCTCTCAGTCCTCTGTCAACTCATTCAGGATCCAAACAGAGGGGAAGAGGATATAGGACCTGCTGTGTTGGCAGAAGAGAAGTCCCGGACTGGAATCAGAATACCAGTCCAGGATAGCCACTTCGCCTCGCTGATATTTAGTCTCATCTCTGCACTGGAGATAATTCCTACCAACCTCCAACCTCACAGGGTGCCGAGGGGATCTGCAGGGCGGTCTCTGGAAGCACCTCGTTCATTTTCATGTATATTGAAGAATGCTCTTTTTCTATTGTTTGAAACCTCGAGTGTGGAGAGACCCAGCCAGTTCCAGGAGCATGCTTGTAGTAAGATGTGCCACTCAGCTGAGCAAAATTGAATTGCCAAAGCATTTGCATTTGTGCTGTTGTTGCTTTGTTTTGAGACAGGTCTTACAGCGTAGCCCAGGCTGGTCTTAAACTCCCATCTCCCTGCCTCCACCTCTCCGAGGCTGGGATTACAGGCCACATGTTGGTATTTACACCTCGCTTGTGCTGGTGCTGGAAAGAATCCAGCTCATCTCCTGGTTATATTGGCAATCCCAACCTTTGCCTGTAAACTGGAACATTCTCTATCCTCTGCCCTCACTTACAAGGTATAGCGGGGTTAAAGAAACTTTCAGGAAATACCCGAGATACCTCCCAAAGGACCTTGGTTGCTGTAGCCGAACATGGGTGACGTCAGATTTGGCCTGGATTCAAATCCAACCTCTGCATATGGGGCACGTGACTTTGGTCAGTTTGCCTCACTTTGAGCCTCCCTTTGACGAAACGAGGACAATGTCACTCCACACCCAAGGAGAGAAGGCGTGAGAAGCAGTTGGCCAGCCAAGTAGGGGACTGGTCTCAGTAGGAGTGGATGCTAAACAGTCCCTCGCCTCGGAGATGGCGGTGACATGGGATCCCCCTTCTTGTGTGCCAGGCCAGAATCAGTGGGAAGTCAAGGCCAGGTGAAACGCCACTCCTCTCACCTGAAGGAAGAAGCTGGCAGCCTCAGTGGGACGGCCTGCCCTCCCCTGCAGGTGTGGGCAGCTCCATCCCTGGCTTGGCCGGGCTGGTGTCCCCACCCATAGCTTATTAGCCTCCCTAGCATCCCCAAGGCTGTGGGCAGGGCGTTTTTGAGGCAAAGGGGGATCAGATTTTGATTTGGCTATGTGGAAACCCACATTTCCCAGGTGCTAAGAAAACTTCACATGCATGTAAGAGAGATCATTTGAGATTTGGGGACCAGTCCTTGTGATGAGCTTTAAAACCTAAAGCTGCACGTTTTGAGCGAGTGTGTGTCACTCAGTGGAAAGGTACAGGCACGTGTAGCAGAGAGTTTAAACCTTGCCCATAGAAGGTCTGGCCTTTGTCACAGTCTGACCTATGAGAATTTTTCAGAGGCTGTGGGCCATGCCAGGTATTATATTCTAAAACAGTCATTCGTCCATCCATCTGTCCGTTCATCCATCCATCCATCCACCCATCCAATCATCTTCCTATCTATCTACCTACCTATCTTCTTGCTGTTGCTTTTCGAGACACGGTCTCAGTAGTTCAAATTCTCTGTGGTCGCTGAGAATAACCTTTGACCCCTGATTGTTTTCTGTCTACCTCCCAAATGCTGAGATCTCAGACATACCTACCATGCCCCACTGACAATGTGATATATGATGGAGCCTAGGACCACACGGTCCCTGCTTGGCCTCTGAGAAGCTAAACACCGAAGTCATCCATACAGGGTATCAGTCACATGATGTGAGTGAGCCATGGTAAAATCTCTGGATACAGAGGCTCGGGCAAGCTTCCCTGGCTGGAGATGCTTGGTTATTAGAGGTTAACACTATGGGTGAACCCACTCGGAAAGGATGACCAGGGGCTCTGTCCTGGCCCTTCCTGCACCCCATCCTATGTGTCCACTCCAGACTTTTGCTAATTTTAGTCTATCCTCTTTCACTGTGATAAGGCATAATCTTTAGAATGACTGCCCATGAGCTCCAGGGTCCTAGTGAATTCCAGAACGCAGGGGTGAGAGACCTTGAGCTGGCACTTGACATCAGAAGCAAGTGTGGTCTTGGGAAGTTTGTAATGTGGTTTTGCCACTGACACACCTAGACTCCTCATCAGGCCACCGACTTGTGGGGTGCCTCTGGATGGTGCCTCTGTCTGGTGGGCGATCACATCACATGGGCTCCCTTCCCCCACTCTTACCATCATCCTCATCCTTGGCTCCTGGCGTGGGTACAAACACGGGTTCCGCTGGCCAGCAGCACTCCTCACCCCACTTTAAGGAGGACTTTGTCAGAACATCGTATTTTAGTATCTGTGTATGCAGAGAAGAGAAAGATGGGATTCTGTGTGTGCAAGCACACTGACTCTGGGAGCAGGAGGGCAGAAAAGCCACAGGGGTGAGACTGCGCCCTCAAACCTACACGTGTGACATCACCTCCAACGCAGTCACAGAAAGGGAAGAACCAAACTTCCTCCCCCAGTATCAAACACGGGGCCCACATAGGGCTGAGACTCAACAATCATGAATATTTATGGTATTTGGCACTATCTCACAATGTTTTAAATTACATAATTAAGGTGTTTAATGCCACTAATTAAAATATGATACAATTCTTTTGTTGCTTTGAAAGTGGAAGCTCTGGACTACAGCTGGGGCGGCTGTGGAGCCCCTGCCCAGAACACCTGAGGTTCTGGTTTGAGTTCCAGTATCCAAAAACAAACAACAAATAGAAAGGAAAATTCCCATAATCTCTCACAGGCCGATTCCTGTAGGGTACAGAATTAGTGGGAGTGGCTTGGCGTGTGCTCTGTATGTGTGTGTGTGTGTGTGTGTGTGTGTGTGTGTAAACCTTAATTTTTGCTTATGAGTATTTTGTACCATAGATATTTCCTTTTTTTTGTTTTTTTTGTTTTTTGTTTTTTGTTTTTCAAGACAAGGTTTCTTTGTAGCTTTGGAGCCTGTCCTGGAACTAATTCTTGTAGCCCAGTCTGCCTCGAACTCACAGAGATCTGCCTGCCTCTGCCTCCTGAGTGCTGGGATTAAAGGCGTGCCCCACCACTCCATGGCAATATTTTAATTTTTAAAATCATTTTTAATTCATTGTTTTATTTTTACCATATGTAACATATATGTTAGTGGGGGGGCACTCATCAGTGTATCATGCCACAGCACGTATGTGGCAGAGGACACAAGTTGGTCTCTCACTCTACTATGTAGGTTCCTGGGCTCAAACTCTGGTTGCCAAGCCTGACAACACTGAGCTATCTCATCTGCTCTGCGTTTTTTTTTTTTTTTTTTTAATGCAACTAAAAATGTTGACATGAAAGAAAAGTATTGTCTGACCAGCACTTTGGACAGCACCGGACTATAGTAAATACTGACAAATAGTCACTTAAAAAAACAAAATTAATCCTCCAGGCTCCAGTGACACCCTTCCTGCTGGAGAAGGCGAGCTGGCTGCTGGGGGCAGCACTCCCTGCCGATTCCTTTGCTCTCAGAGCCCACCCCAGAGTGCCACATAACCGGGGCTCACAGTGCAGACGGAACACAGAACTCACGCTTTAGACTTATGCCAACTGTTTTCCCTCCTGAACCCCTTTTCCCAGTCTTAAGCTCAGAGGAGGCTGCTTTGCAGACACTGAGTTGGGTCCAGAGAACCCAGCTTGCGCACACAGGGATAGTACCTTGGTCGGAATGGGACTCCACTGAACTTCAGCAGCAAAGATGTAGCGATAGGGCTTCCCGTTGTGAGCATAATTTATCCGAGGGAGTTCTAGGCCTGGAGAGGACGGGACACTGATGAAATCCCATCACTGGGGTGGGGAACTTCCCTCTTCAGGCCAAACTGGGCCTTGTTCATAGGAACAGTTCCCAAGTACCACCCCTGACCTTGATTCAGACCCAGATTACTTCAAAGGTGGTCACGGGTAGGGAGGGTCCTTGATAATGATGCCGACCCTGCCAGAAGGTTCAGGAGTGAGGAACCACACACCAGGGGGCTTTAAATGCACAAGTGCCTGTAATTATCCATGATAGGAATCAGAGAATTACAGATTTCAATCAGAGGCTGCTGCAATTTTTAACACCCCCTCTGTGTGTGTGTGTGTGTGTGTGTGTGTGTGTGTGTAAGTGCACATGAGTATGAAAACAGACTCCAGAAACCACTGGGAGGAGTGTCATTGCATCATATAAAATAAATCTGGTACCTGGGTTTGTGCAGTCACTGTGTAAGTACTAAGAGACACTAAGGCAACAGGATTGTCACAGGTTCAAAGCCAGCCTGGCCTATAGAGTGAGACCTTGTCTAAAATAAATAAAATAAAATCGGTAAATCCTACTATAATATGTATAAAAAGAATATTTACAAAGGATTTTCCCAACATGGGAAATGTCTATATGATAAGGTTAAGTGTAAAAGGCTGGCTATAAAGTTCTGTCCCTATGTCATAAACAGGAAGTTCAGAAGTATTGCTGGGGTCAGCACTGCCTGCCAGCTGATACTCCATCTTGCAACTTTTAATATTTCTATTACTTTTTGTCCATTTTTTTGTGTTTTAAGACAAGACCTATTAGAGACTCCGCAGGCTTTTAACTCACAATGAAGTTGAGCAAGACCTTAACCCCCAACCCCATCTCTCAAGAGTTGAAATTGCAGGCATATAATCTGCTTTTGTTTGTTTATTTTTTGAGACAGGGTATGTGGCTTGGGCTAGCCTGGTACTCACAGCAATCCTCCTGCCTCAACCTCCTGATGCTGAGATTATAGGCATATACCACCACACCCAGCTTCACTGTACACTTGAAAGTATGAAATGCAGATTTCTCTACACCAGGCTTTGTAAGACACCAAGTGCAGAAACTCAGCTCTGTGGGACAGTGGCACTTCCCAGAGAGCTCTTGGCTGGCTCCTGTTTAGGGTAAGGCTATTTGGCACCCAGGGATGTTTCTGCCCATCCTCCAATGCCAGCACTGCCCTGCCACAAAGAATACCAACTCCACATGTGCCTGAGGAACACGGGCCCATGGGTGTGGCTCCTATTCTGTGGTTTGACACTCCGTGTGTGGCTCAGCATCTCTCAGGCTCACTGGGCCAATGATGCCCACTTTGTAGAAATCATGGCAGTTTAGAGGGAAGAGACGGGACCTACTATGCCTATTTAATACATCACAACCATTTGTATACATCCACTATGCTTGTCATTCATCTAAGGACTATAAGTGCTGGGAGCTATCCAAGAAAGATCCCCAAATTCTTTTCTGGGGTCCCAAGAGCCTTCTGTGCTCTTCCCTATCCCTGCATGAAAGGGAGGCATCACAGAGAGGGGTTCTGGGCCTCTCAGTGAGAAAGAATGTATCCTACCTTCATAGAGAACTTCAGGCTGGCAGTAGACATGACCTTCTTTCTCCTTCAAGGCTGTTGCTCTTGTAGATGTCGCCTTGATTAAATTTGAGCCCACTTCTGCATTCTGAAAAGAGTAAGTTAAAAACAACAACATAAAAGATTATTCCCACAAACCCTTGCTTGATCATATGCTCTTGAGCAGAGCTTCCAAACATAGCATGGTGCTTGGCCTCTCAGTAACCACAGGAAGCAGCTGTTTCATCGCTGTTATTCTTAGTTAAAGATAGTGAGGTCCACTGGGCAGTGGTGGTACATGCCTTTGATTCCAGCACTCAGGAGACAGAGGCAGGTGGATCCCTGAGCTCGAGGCTAGCCTGGTCTACAGAGCAAGTTTGCGGACAGCCAGAGCTATACATAGAAACCCTGCCTCGAAAACAGCAGCAGCAGCAACAACAACAACAACAATGAGGATTGGGGCTGGAGAGATGGCCCGGCTTTTCCAGAGGACCTGAGTTCTAGTCCTAGTACTACAAGGTGGCTCACAAACATCTGTTAACTTCAGTCCCTGGGATCCAATGCCCCCTTCTGGCCCCCAAGAGGCACTGTATACAGAAGTGCGGGGACAAAAAATACAAATCACCGATACAAGTTAAATAAATACATTTAAAAATGCAACCATCGCTTTAAAATGAATGGGGATTGGCAACAGGAACAGACTCTTCCAAAGCTTACAGTCAGAACCTATCTAAGCTTTTTATCTCTCTAAGGAAACAATATGCTCCAAAGAGAATATTCTTTTTTTTTTTAAATGCTGGATGATTCACCCGCAAAAAGCTGCTTCCATCCTCCGACGGGTGTTTGCGGAGTCTGCAGTAACAGATAATGCTAAGGATGTTACAGTGAGAGACTGCCTGGGAACAAACAGCACACTTGGTCTGAGCCCAGCCACGTATGCTAATGAGGTACACTGGGACGGGAATGTGAGAAAATGTGACAGATCTGGACAACAGAGCAGGTAGGGGAGGAGACTTCCCTCATTGTCACATCCTAAGCTTGAGACTTTGGGGCAAGTAATTAGTGTTTCTGTGGTCCGAGGTCCTTCTGTGTATCATGAAGATAATAGTATGCACGTCTTCGACTGATTGCAAAGATTAAGTGGCATCATCTGCCAAATGGTTCGCAGTAGAACCCAGATAAACATTTTTGTTGATGAGGACATTTTTGCGGCAACACAGTAGGTCTACAGTATCACTCTCAGAGGATTCCTTCCAATCCCTCCATGATGTCCTGAAACTCAGATAACACGAAGACTTTGTGTAAGTGTTGCAACCAACAGCATTGCAACTAACAGCACTGACCTGATAACCGAGACAACTACAGAATGACTAATAGGTGGGTAGCATATAGAGAATGGATACATTGTATAAAGTGATGTGTTGTGTTCTGAGCAAGTCTGAGATCAGAACAGAAGGCAATTTAAATGCAATGTAAGTATCTTTTCTTTAGAGGGGGCCTTTCTTCTTTCCCTCCCTCCTTCCCTTCCTCCCGTCTTTCTTCTCCCTCCCTCCCTCCCTNAATCACTCTCAAGTCTAATATAACTCCTTTTGATGGGCTTGCTTAGAGTTTTAAAGAGGAAGCAGGAAGATTTTCCAGTGAGGTTGAATCCAGCATCAAGAATAGCAACGAATGGTGTGTGTGTATGATCTTTCTTTCTTTCTTTCTTTCTCTCTCTCTTTCTTTCTTTCTTTCTTTCTTTCTTTCTTTCTTGAGACAAGGTTTCTCTGTGAAGCCCTGACTGTCCTGAAACTTGCTCTGTAGACCAGGCTGGCCTGGAACTCACAGAGATCCTCCTGCCTCTGCCTCCTGAGTGTTGGGATTAAAGGCGTGCACCACCACCTCATGGCTAGAGGGGGGGTCTCTCACTGAATATTTTTGGAGCACACTTGGTTCTGAGCCACTGCATGGGTGGAAAGAGAAACCAGATGATAGAATACCATTAAATTATTATTACTATGGCTGACTTGTCTATCCAAATTTTCAACATCATTTTAGCATTAAAAACAACCTGTTTCTTCTCTGTCGGCATGTGCATTACCTAGTGTATGTGTGGTTGTGTATGGAACCAGTGTTTGGAGCTCGGTGTCTTTCCTCTGTGGGCATGTGTTATGTGTCTAGTGTGTGTGTGCTTGTGTATGGAGCCAGCGGTTGGCCCTCGGTGTCTTTTTCCATTGCATCCCCTCTTGTTATTTTTTCACATGCAAATTTCTAGATTTTAGAAATCTGTCCCACCACAACAGAAAAAAAAAAAAAACCACATGGCAGGGTCTCTACTCCTTTTGCTTTTCAGCCTCTGCGGTCCCCCTGATCTTCCTCAGTCTGTACCCACTTTCCCTTCCATGCTTCCTGGAAGTCATCTTCTAGTATAGGCCAAGTCTTGCAAGTCTGGGTTTAGGCTCATTCTTCTTTGCATCACCCAAAGAATCATCGATCACACCAAAGCCACTGTCTTGCTCCCACCAAAGTGAGTTCGGAATTCAAATACAAAGATGCTAATTTGTGTGGTCTTATACATTGTGGCTATCTTTTCCTGCATTTCCGTCTTTGGCACTTTGTCTTCCTAGAGCCATCAATGACCATATGTTTCCTCTGAAGCAAAAGGTTAGTCATGAACTTCCTGGTGAGGACCCTCAGATCATTATTGTGTCCTTCGTGATGGTGGGTCCTTGAGCAGCTAAGCGGGGTGGAGAGGGTTCCACCTCTTAAGCTTCCTTTGATACAGGTTTCTTACTGAACCTGGGATCCATCAATTATCTTTACTAGCTGGCCAGACAGCTTCAGAGATCTGCTTGTCTCTACATCTCCAGTGCTGGGATTACAGGTACTCAATGCCATGCTTGTATTTCATGTGGATACTAGGGACGGAACCCAGTTCCTCATGTTTGCGTAGCAAGGCACTTTGTAGACTGAATCACCTCCCCAGCCCCCCAACAACCTACGTGAATGGCAGCAGCTCTTTTGCTGGGAAAGAGAGAAAGTTAACCACATCATGGCAGCTGAGTTGAAGGGGTCTTTGGAGATTATTCATCTAGTTCAATCCTTTGATTGTTAGGAGCAGAAGCTGAGGTTCGGAGACGGAAAGTGACTTATCAAAAGTCATACAGAGAGAAGCAAAGCCTGGGCTCATGCCTTCACATTGAGATTCTCTCAGAAGCATGAGTATTTTGGACAGAGGGCGGAGCGAGGGGCCCTTTCCCATAGGTCTCAGCTCAAACATCTTCCTCCCTAACTGCTCAATCTGAACCTGCTGTGTCCTTGGCACAGCAGTCCAGGCTCTGATTATTTCATTCATGAAGCTTTGTCCCTCTTTGTGGTCATTTTTTCCATGACATCAGAGACCAGATTTCCTTCAACGCATGACACACAGCACCCAGGAAGTGAATATAAGACTTAATAAGCTTTTCCTTACTTCCAGTGGTCAAGGGACAAAGAACATGCATGCTTTGCAGTTTGGTTGAAGAATCCAATGAAACCAAGTCTGTGAACCAAGTAGCCCCTTGCTGGGTACATTGTAACAGCTTATACTGGGCCCGTGGCTTGCTAGGCACGTGACAGCAGCACCCTGTGCCAGCCCCTCCCTGCCCAAGGCATGTCCAACCTTGACTCACAGGGAGTTGGTCTACAGAGACTGTTCTGGCTCCAGCCTGAAACTTGTCAGACTGGTTAAGGGATAAACTTTTAATTTTCCACACACAGCAGTAACCTAACATGACTTGGCTGCTTTTAGCAGCCAACTCTGCTCAACGTTGACAAGAAATCAGCCAGAATTTAGCGAAAAATCCCAAAAGTTTGCCCGCAATCCTGATGCCAGAGGGAACTTCCAGGGGGGGAAGCAGTGAGCTCAGAAATCTGCCCCTACCCCCACTCCCATGGAGATACCAGCTTCTGTGTGGAATCAGAATTCATTTAACTTGCTATGTGAGTTTGAAAAGACCCTTGGCCCCAGTGGGTTGGCTTCCCTGTCTGTAAATGGGGTGCTGGGTGAAACACAGTGGGTTCTGCCTGATCTCAGAAATTTATGGTTATGTAAGCATCTGGTCCCCAGCCAGAGTCATTGTAGTTAACAACAGAATGAATTCAAATCCTGACACAATCCCAACGATGACTCTTTGGCGTTGGGCAAGCAACTTTCCCTCTTAACTGTAGACTTCAGGATAAAGAATAACTCGTTGGGTTGCAGTATGAATCGGCAAAGCGGTGAACCATTCTTAAAATTTGTAGGGCCTGGAGCAATAGACCAAGCTGAGGCCCACAGGCCCTAGGCCCAAACCTTGCACACTGATTAAGTAAGACCAAATCGTTCTCCTACCAAGACACATGGGTCTTTGTCACGGGGAGCTGTTCTGTCTAACACACGAGCTCTAAAACCAACCTATTTTAATGCTCGCAGCTCTCCTTTTTCTGGAAAGAGAAAGTTTGCTGCATTTCCATAGTTGGATTGCAGGGGTCTTTAAAGATTGACCCAGTTCAAATCCCTCAGTCTGTAGCAAAGGAAGCTGAGACCAAGAGAAGGAAATGAAAGAGAGAAGAGCCACATGCGGCTACTGAGACTTTAGAATGAGGTAAAGTGAGGTTGAAACTTCCATGGACCCCAATGCTAGCCACATCTCCAGGCTCCACCACCACACCGGCAATTGATAGCTACCGTGATGGACAGGGAGAACATTCCAGCAGCATAGCAGGTTCTGGCTCATAGGCTGCCCTGGAGGAAGAAGTACGAATGGAGATGTCCAGGACCCCTTAGCTCTCAGCCAGATGAAATGACCCAGTGAGAGCTTCTCATTCCAGGCTCGGACTGGACCTACGCAGATGCCCTGCCCAGGACTCTAAGTCCCAACCAGTCCCACCAGACCCTCATGGGCACACCAGCAACAGTTTCTCAAACAGGTTGGTACCCCAGTTAGCCAAAGTATAGGTAGGTGTGATAAAGAGATGCCTTTTATAGTAGGCATGATCCCTTGGTTCTTAGAACTTTGCTGGAGATAGAAGGGACAGACTGAGGCCTCAGAAGTAACAATCTCAGAGAAGCTTCCTATTGCCAATGTCTCGAGGGAGAAAAGCTATTTCCCACAGGGCCCAGCATTCAGCACACTCTCCACGGATTCTATTTCATCTTATCCTCAGAGATTCACTGCCTTTGGAAACAAAGCCCAAATCTACCGGTCCAGGATCCAATGTCGCTCTGGCTCGCTGCCTACTGTGACAGCCTCTGACCCATGACAGCCAATGCTCACAAATCTATTTCTAACACGCTACGGCGCTCTTCAGTATGAAGGCAGGGCCGTCGCCCCACTGTCTGGACATGCCTAGGTTCCTCCCTGCCACTGCTCCTCCCCTGCAGAGCCACACCTCAGGTGCCCGCAGCCCTACATAAATAGCTGGGGTTGGGGGGAGGAGGGGTTTACACACTGCCTTCCCTTGACCTCAGCTGGTCTGAGGATCAGGGGTGACCAGGAGGTCCTGGATCTCTGAGAATAATCTCCCATCATCTGCTCTGGGTGTAGAGCAATGCTCACTGGGAAATGCAAATGCTGACGGAACTGTGCCCTCTTATAGACCTTGCTTCATGTTTTTCATTCATTCATTCATTTATTTCCCCATGTTTAAGAATTGTTTTTTTTTTTGCCTACAGACTGACTTTTTTATTGATTTTTATTGAGCTCTACATTTTTCTCTGCTCCCCTCCCTGCCTTCCCCCTCCCCTTCAGCCCTCTCCCATGGTCCCCATGCTCCCAATTTACTCAGGAGATCTTGTCTTTTTCTACTACCCATGTAGGTTAAATCCATGTATGTCTCTCTTAGAGTCCTCATTGTTGTCTAGGTTCTCTGGGATTGTGATTTGTGAGCTGGTTATGTTTAAGAGTTTTTAAATGCAAGGATGGCTTGCTGCAAGACAGAGTCCCTGCCCTCCAGGAGCCCGTACTTCAGCAGCAAGAGGTGAATCAAACAAGCCTGTCCTGCCGAGTAGAGTGTCACCCTAGGGGGTATCACAGTGTATGCATGCCCCCAGGGGGCGATGGCACAGAGACCCAAAGGATGAGGAGCTCTTTAGGCCCAGAGAGTTTTTTCAGCCTGTGCTGCAATCACTCAGGATCCTCACGTCCACTGGTACAGTAGCAGGGAGGTTCTGCTGATACTGTCCTGAGCGTGGGCTGGGAAATTGCGGCAGATGACTCCAAATTGTAAGCAGGGAGAACAGGCAGGGCTCTGGAATAGGTCAGTGGGGCAGGCAGAGGGGACACTAATGGGCAGAGGCCCCCAGTAGAGAGCCTCTGAGAAGGACCAATGTTCCTAACCCATGGTTAGGATGGAGCCAGGCCCTCGGAGCAGGGTGTGTGCGGCTGTGTCCACCTACCCAGCTTTCCCATTTGTACAGCCAGGCAGCTGAGTGACTTGAAAGCCAAGAAGCCATCTTTAAGGGACAATAAACAGCAATTAAGCAGCGTGGTCAGAGCCACCCATGCGAGGCTTTGCTCTTCTTTGCTGATTTCAAAGCGCCTGGTGGCTTACAAGGTGGCTTTTAAAGACACACACACACACACCGCTCAAGCTTGGCTCTGAGAAGTAGCCATTCTCCCCCGTGATCAAAGGGTGCAAAGCCTTACATGGGGGCAGGGAGGGAACGTTGTCCCTCTTCTGGCATCGGCCCTGGCCTGAGTTCAGCCTCGTGACTCATGCCCTGTGTGCTCTGTGACACTCTCTGCCTGCACCAGAAGACAGTCCTCGGTGCCGCATTGTGGGGCTTTCCCAGCATAAGGGGTGCAAGAGGTCAGGGCTGGGGGTGACTTTATGGGGTGCCATGGATCACTCAAATAGCCCTTACCATGAGGGTGGTTTTCTGATAGTTTTAAGTGCCCCTTACCCCCATATTTTAGCAGAACTGTGAAACAACTGAACCCAGGGCCTCGTGTTTGCTAGGCAAGCACACTATCATTGAACTATATGAAACCCTTTTCCTAATTGTTAGATTTATTTTTATTTTAAGGCAGGATCTCACTGAGTCGTCCAGGCTGGCCTTAAAATTTCAGGTTTTCCTGCTTCAGCCTCCTGAGTAGTTGGGAGTACAGACCAGCACCAACGAGTTCCATTTAACCACTTCCTTCCTTTTTTTTTCCAATTAAAACAACAACAACAGCAAATTTTTTTTTAAAAGAAGATCTCACCAGGTAGCCTATCAACCCAGACTTGACCTTACAATCTTCCTGCTCCGGTCTCCTGAGTGCTGGGGTTATAGGCATGTACCACCATGCCCAGCTGCTTGGCTCCTTCATTCTTGCCCAATGCCAGATCAGGAATGAAACCCAGTATCTCAGAGTATTAAGCATTCTTTCTACCTCTGACTAACACCCCTGCTCTGGCTAGTTTTATCTCAGCTTGACACAAATTAGAGTTATCTGAAAGTTAATTGAGAAAATGCCTCCATAATATCTGACTGTAAGGCATTTTCTTAATTAGTGCTTGATGGGGGAGGGCCCAGCCTATTGTGGGCGGTGCCATCCCTGGGCTGGTGGTCCTGGGTTCTATAAGAAAGCTGACTGAGCAAGCCATAGAGAGCAAGCCGGTAAGCAGCACCCTTCCATGGCCTCTGCATCAGCTCCTGCCTCCAGGTTCCTGCCCTGTTTGAGTTCCTGTCCTGACTTCCTTCAGTGATGGGCTATGCCAGCCAAAGGAACCCTTTCATCTTCAACTTGATTTTGGTCACCGTGTTTCATCACAGCAATAGAAACCCAAGCCTACATTTATTTTCCGAAGTCAGCCCTTGGGAGGAGGCAGCCTCAGTTGGAGCTACAGACCTCTGCTGGGCTCTCAGATCTCATTTGCGCTCCTCTCCTCTCCGCAGCAGGCAGGGCCGCTTTCCCTGGTGAGTGACATGTTCCCTTTCACACGGCCTAATGACCAGTCAGTTGATTCAAACGCCAACAAAGACATTCTAGATGTGAAGTCAGAGTGATGTGACAAGTGGCAGAGGCCATGGGCAGAGACACAGGGAGAGTTGTCAGAGAGGAAAGAGCCGAAATTGGGGACCCACAAACCTGGGTGCAAATCCTGACTCTTCTGCCCCCTGGACTGGCCCCCCAGCTGGGCTGAACCCCTGCACTACAGAACCCAGAGACGAGTGTGAGAAAAGGCTCCCTGGGTTGTGGAGAGCTGTTCTCCAGGGGGGAGGCCTGCAAGGGTGAACAACCGATTTCCTGTTCCTCTTCGGGTACAGATTCACCTTTAGTGATTGGTCCAGGTTCTAACCTTGCACCGTGGCCAGGGACACGGTCCTTTATCTCTGACTCTCAGTTTTTACAGCTGTAAAACGAGGCTTTCAAGCTTTCCCATAAGTTGCTTTGGTCACCAAGTGATGTAACACAAACCACGCGAGATTAAAACGCCCAGCGAAGCGCCTGGCATGCAGCTCTCCTCTAGTAAGCGGGAGCCACCGCAGTTTAATTGAGTTCAATTTGGTTCCATTTAAATTAATTATGTCATGAAGTCAGTGAGTTCTGGGGCCAGAAGCTTCCTTCTGCTCAGAGCCGCGACAGCAGTACCCTGGCTGAGAAGGTCTCCTGTCCTGAGAGTCCCGACAGGGTGAAGAACGATGCAGCAGGGGCATCATGCAAGCTGGCCATGATGGGTCCCTGGCTGGACCATCCGCTGAATACTCAAGATGGAAACACAGAGAGACGCCTCGGTATATAACTGATACAAAAGGCAGAAGGCAAGATGGTGTGCACACACTTGGCCATGAGAGAAAACCAAGTGTGGATGCACACCATCATATGGGCAACACAGAATACATTGCTGAGTCAGGGAAGCCAGTAGGGCCAGGCCGTGTGCTGGCAGATTCTGCCAGCATAATGGGCTTGGTCAGGTGATATACCTTTAAGGCTGGGAGGAGATCCACGGTTGCCTGGGGTAAGGGGAGAGTTTCTGGGAGCTGATAGCTAAGGGGTAAAGGGGATGGGATTTCTCTAAGGGTTTAAAAACGAATGACAATGAATTGAATACTTTAAATGGATCAAGTCTGTAGTGTGTGGATTATACCTCAATAAAACCGCTAAAAAGATGCAATTAAAATATAAAATGTACATGTACATGTATGTATGTATCTATACACATATGAGGCGTGTCTAAAGAGACCGGAGTCAACACAAACACATTCACAGTGACCATCTTGCATGGTGGGTTTAAAGAGATAATTTGTTTGAGACAAGGTCTGGCTACGTAGCCAAGGCTGGCCTCTACCTCCTCAGTGCTGGCGACACAGCCTATGTTACCATTCCCAGACAGGTTTAAAAAGGACTTTCCTTTTTTCTTACTTAGATTTTCTACAGTTTCTACAGAACATAGCTGCTTTTAGAAAAGCAATGAATTTTTTTTTTTAAGGACTAGTTTAGGGCTGGGGCAGGGATATGTTGCTCAGTGGCAAAGAATTTATCTGTTATGCGTGAGGTCCTGGGTTCTGTCCTCTGCTCTACAAAGCAGAGCAAAGAGAAAAACAAAACAAAGAAAGCCCAGTTCATTTGGAAGTTCAATGTTAACAAGCATCCAGGAAAATTTCAGCCCAGGTTCAGGGCTGTCCAGAGAACAGAGAACACAGTACCTTGTCCACATGGAGCGGTACAGCAAACCTCTTGAGGGTGGGCACTGACGTCATCCTGGAATTCTCCTCGAAGTTCCGGTTCAGGTTGGCCAGGTAGAAGAGCTGATAGAGGCTGCTGTCTTCATAGGCGATAACGTCAAACACAACACAGCCATCCTCCTCATAGGCGTTGACATGGTGGAAGACCACCATGGGGTCCGTGAAGAACTTGGTTGGCACAGGCTTCCTGGTCCTCTGGTCGATGATATGAATGTAAGTCTGAAAGAAGACCCAGTGGTCAGCTCACTCTCTGATATACCTGGCATGGTGACATCGCAGCAGCCAGGCCTGCCCTAGCTTAGGGCCCTACGGATGTCCCTTTCCCCATTCTGAGCTCCGTATTCACCTCAGAATGCCAGGCAGTGCTATTCACAATGGCCAAATTATGAAATCAGCCAAGCTGGCCACACGTAGACGAAAATTTTTTTCACGATTATATTTGTATATATTTGGGAATGCATGTGTGTGGATGAAAGCAGAAGATGGGTAGGGGATGCACACAGTCAGAGTACATGATACAGTTGAATGAAAATACCGGTGTAAATCCACCACGTTATATAATGAGGACTTGCTAATAAAGATTAAGACAAGGGGCTGGGGAGATGGCTCAGTTGGTAGAGTTTTCTCTGAGGACCTGAGTTAGAACCCTAGCACCTGTGTGTAGAAATTAGGAGTCCTGGCGGCCACCTATAATCCCAGTGCTTAAGGCGTGGGGTGGGGCCAAGACAGGAGGGTCTGTGGTGCTTTCTGACTGAATAATCTAGCTGAATTAGCAAGCCACAGGCCAGTAAGACACACTGTTTCAAAAAAATAAGGTAGGTGGTGTCCTAAGGTATCACACACACACAGGAACATACATGCAAGCACATACATACACAATTAAATAAGTAAAAATTAAAACAAAGCAAAACAAAGAAACTGACAGGCAGGTAGGAGCCTTCATTGAACGGCCATACAGAGGCCACAGGAGGACGGCTTTCCCATGGTTCCAGGGGCAGACAGACAAGTTCCCTGGGGACAATTGCGCTGGTGGAACCTGCTAAGTGCAGTCTCCACCTGGAACTGGAGTCCCCAAACATCTAGTGCTCTGCTCTTCGGTCCCCTCTCCCGCACATGCACACACAGCAGAGCAGAGTCCGCTCCCCAGGGCTGCTAGTCACACCCACCCCCACCTGGCCCCAGGGCTGCAATGGAACAGGCCCAGGTCTAGCTAGGGAGCTGCATCTGTCCCAGGGTGACCTGGCTGTGTGCTACCAGGCTGGAATCACCCTGGGTGCTAATTTGCTAGCTCGATGGGTCAGTTGTCTGATACTCCCCATACCCCGTGTATATGTGTGCCTGTGTATCTGTGTGTGAGCATGTGTGTCTGTATGTATCTGTGTGTGAGTATGCATGTGTGCGTGTCTGTGTGTGTCTGTGTATCTGTGTGTGTATGTGTGTATGTGTCTGTGTATCTGTGTGTGAATATGCATGTGTGTGTATCTGTGTGAGTATGTGTCTGTGTATCTATGTGTGTGTGAGTATGTGTCTGTGTATCTGCATATGTGAGTATGCATGTGTGTCTGTGTATCTGTGTGTGTGAGTATGCATGTGCATATCTGTGTGTGTGTGAGAGTATGTGTGTGTGTGTGTGTGTGTGTTCTCTTTTGGCAGTTCTTGCTTAACTTCCTTCCTGAAGGAGGAAGTGGTTTCTTTGGTCTAGCTGTTTTCTTCCCTCTCCCAGAGGCCAGAGGAGAGCTGTGACATCACAGGGGTGGGGAGTGTCAGTGTGGACAGGTCAGCACCAGGGTGATTGGTTTAGGCATTGTCTCCCCTCTGACCCCAAACCCAGGCCAGACACTTGGATATTTTTTATAAAAGATTTCACTCTCTACTGACTTCTAGAGCCTGGGCCCCAGTAGCCCAGGGCCTCCCTAGTCACAGAGTGCAGGCTTATAGCTCTCCAAGCTCCTGGAGCAGGGCAGCCCCAGTGTCTCTGGAGACGGATACAGGGTGTACTCAACTTGAGTAGGCTTCTCTGTCCTGTCCATTCATGCTACAAATACAGAAGTCCTTCTGAGTCCCAGGCGCTTCTTTGGGAACCATAGAGACAAAAAGCCACTCCTTTGAGGACAGTATATACGAGTGAGGTGGAACCCACAGAAACGTAAAATCTGTAATAAAATCTGAAGGATGAAGGGCGCTCTCAAGAAAAAGGCAGTAGTGGTAGAGACCTAGAAGAAGCCAGTGTGGGATTTCCTGCAGGTAGGCTCAGGAAAGAAGGCTTTGGGAGTGAGACCAGTGAGGGAGGAAGCCACCTCATAACAGAGGAACAGAAGATAAAGAGGCCCTTAGCAGGGGGTGAGAGAGAGGGGGCAGAGGAGTGGCGAGTGGAGCCCTTGAATGTTATTCTGAGAAATAGGAAAAACTGCTAGAAGGTTTAAGCAGTGGTTGACCTCATCTGCCCCCTTCTCCTCCTGAGGAGGCAGAGGATGGCCTTACAGGGGGTAGCTGGCATATTTGTACCTAGAGGTTAAAGTGGGCGTGAGTGTCCAGAAGGCACTGAGACAAAGTTGATGGAAAGTGCCTTTCTCCGGGAAAGGAGGGAGGAAGGAAGGTAGGAGAGGGGAGTCTTGTGGGAAGGGGATTTAGAAAAAATGATAATTTTGAGACAAGGTCTCACATAGCCCAAGCTGGCATTGAACTTGCTGTATAGCTGAGAATGACCTTGAACTCTTGACCCTCTTGTCTCTGCTTCCTCTGAGTGCTGGGATTGCAGGCAAGCACCACCCTGCCCAATTTATACAGTACTGGGAATTGAACCCGGGGCTTCATGTATGCTAGGCAAGCATTCTCCCAGCTGAATTACATTCCTAGCCCAAGAAAGAGATTATATATTCGGCTTTCTATACTAGTGTGTTATTTGAATAGATGACACTGAGAATCACTGGACATTTGTCAAAAGTAGCAACAGCAACTAAATAAATACACACATAAGTACATTCGCACGTGTGTTTTAACACCCATTCATGCATGCACATACATGTACACACTCGTGTATATAAGCATGGGACACTTAGGTGTCTCTAACTGAAGGAGATATTTTCACTCAACATCAATGGAACCCAGAGTTATCCTGATATTTAATATCACTGATATCCTGGACTCACTAGGCCCCCCAATATATGACGAGAGTAGGCTCTAACTATGGAGAAAGACTTGATTCCATAGCGGCCATCTGGGGACGGTTTGGGGACAAGTTGTTTGCCCAAGATCACATCCTGTTCCCAGGATATCTGCACTTGGGAGTAGGGACTTCCGAACTCAGGATCACTTTAGTGAACCCATCCCAACACCTGAACTCTCCAGATGGTGGCAGCTTCCTGCAGAGACACACAAAGGCAGTCAATGTTCCTAATAAGCATCCCTGGAGTGGGGTAGGTGACAGGAAGGTCTCACCTTGTCCTCCCTGTGGAACGACATGCAGGAAGCCCAGCTCACTCCCCGCATGTATGCGGTGGCCATTTTGAGGATATCCAGCTTGAAAGGCTGCTCCAGGAAGATGACATAGTTCTCTGTGACTCCGAAGCTGTGGTAGTAGCTGGGGGAGAGGAGTGAGCGGGAGGGGATGGAGCAGAACACTTCCGTGTGCTTCAAGGGGCTCTTCCCTTTCTTCTCGGTGCCTGGAGAAGAGCAAACCTGGGAATGTAGCCGGACAGCACCATCACCTACACTCCGACTGTGTCCTCAGGAAAACCTTTGAGGAAGAGCCCACAAGACCAGATACCACGACGGGAGAGACTCTCCTAGAGCCTGCTTGCCACGTGGAACTCTGGGTCTCCAGCCTGAAAAACCACTACCTTAACCCAGGGAGGCCTCGAGGATCCAACGGTGCCCATTCCAGGCTGGGAACTAAACTTAACCTCCAGCTGCTTTTACGAAAACAGTCTTCTGTGGAACACGGCCACACCCGCTGCTTTCTGCCATGGTTGACTGCTTCTGGGGGGACAGTAGGCCAGTAGGGCAACTGTGACCGACACACCAGAGAGCTGGTTCTCAGGGCCTTAGATAGTTTCTTCTGGTCCTTTGGCAGAAACAGAATCTGCTGACCCCCTACGGCAGAGCCATCTTTTCCTCACATTTGGAAGAACATATGAAGCTTGTGGGGATGGCGATCAAATGGAGAATTTAACGTGTTCCTGGGCCAGGGCCCCAGACTCCATTTCTACCAAGCCTCCCGGAAACGCATGAACTTCCCATGTGTGTTTTGTGGGGTGACAGTAGACACAACATATTCCACAGGGTTTTTACCCATTGTTCTAACACTACCCATAACGAAACACACAGCAGAGGACTCACTACCCGTTGTGTCAAGAGACTCCTGTGTGTCTCCGGGGTGAGGCTAGTGTGTGCGCATGCGCAGGCCCAGAAGTCCACCTGAGCTATCATTGCTTCTCATATGTGTTCCCCTTGCTTTTTTCAGACAGGGGTTCTCACTAGGACCTGGAGCCCACACGTTAGACTAGCGAGTCTTAGGAGTCCACCCAGCTTTGCCTCTCCGGTGCTAGGATTACCAGTGTGTGTTACTGCATCTGACTTTCTACACAGGCTCTGGGGACCAAACTCAAATCCTCTTGCTTGCCGGGCTAGAGCTCTACTGACAGGGCCACGCCTCCATCCGTCTGATGAGGGACTTTGACAGGGACCCCAGCAATTAAACAAGACTGTAGGATGCCCATTGCACACATGGGCAAATGAGGGGAATGCTCTATGATCCAAGTCATAGCCTTGACATCCTCCTGTGTTACTAGAGAGAAACATACCCCCCAAAAAACAAAACAAACAAACAAACAAAACAAAACAAAACAAAAAACAAGACGTGGGGCAGGAGTGAGAGGGTGGGTAAGCCACCAGGTGGGTAACCCACCCCCTGTTCTAACTGCAGTTCACAAGTTCACAGTTCACAAGTGCAGCTCTCCTGGCACTTGAAGGCCATGGCCGTGTGTGTGTGTGTGTGTGTGTGTGTGTGTGTGTTCTGTTTTTGTGAGTCCCTTGTAAGCATGAATCAGCCTTGGGCAAAAGGCCTCCCCACCCAGTCCTGGGGCTGATTTATAATGAGTTCCCTGTCAATGTCCCCACCTCTGTGAGGCCACCTGTGCAGCTGTAAACAGCTGGCGGGTGGGAGGGGATGCTGTGGGGCTGTGGGCTAGTTTCTCTGGCAATGGAGAACACAGAACAAACAACAAACTAAGATGGAAGGTTCAGGTCTGGGATATAGAGCATGAATGCCCCTGCACCAGCGGGAAGCTGAGACGGCCTCTTGCATGATGTCAGGGCTCCTGTAAGCTATGTGACCAACACCATGTCACCTAATCTTCTGAGTCTCACGGTCCCCTGTCATATGAGGCAGTACATAAAAATGCCCAGAAGACTGCTGCCTGGCACGCCAGGATGCTGGACATCTGGATCACACATCCTTCCCCAGCCCATGTAACGTGAGGGTCACTGAACAATATTCATGGCACCTTTGGACCTGGGGGAGGGGGGAGGCTGTGCTTCCAGATTCTGGCAGAGCCTGGTAGTTTCTTACAGACTGTAGGGGTAGGGAGCAGGCAGGGACTTTCAGAGTCATAGATAGAAACTTGTTACCTAGGCCAGAAGGTCGGGTCAAATGCCCTTTAAGGCCTCATCGGCTGGGTGTGGCAACCAGGAGGGTCCTGGACAAACAGAGGTGGTTGAGAGCCTCACCCTCTTCCCCCTCAGGAACACGCAATCACTGGCCTGGGCTTTGCTCCAGGACCCGGCCCTAAGAGGAGGAGGTCCAGAAGGCCCCAGGAACAGGGTGTGGATCTGGAGTGGATCCCAGCAGGGCTGAGCACCCCAACAGCCCTGGGAGCCTGGCTGCAGGATGGAGGGGGTGGTACAATCTTGGCATGCAAAAGTTTGTCAGGAGTCTTTAAAAGAAATGACTAACTCATCCCTAAAGTTAGAATACGCTAAATTGATAGATGGATAGATAGATAGATGATTAACTACACAGGTGGGTGGATGGAGGAATGGTTATATAGATGGACAGATAGATGAACGGATAGATGGATGGTTTGGTGGGTAGGTGAATAGATGGGGAGATGGATGATTGAGTGACAGATGAGAGGATAGGTGAATGGGTAGATGGATAGATGGACAGATAAACGGAGAGTTGGATAGATGAGTGGATGGGTGGCTGACTGAGTGGGCAGGAGAATACATGAATGGATAGATGGATGGACCAATGGGTGAATGGATGGGCGGGAGGATAAATTAAATAGTGATTTCATGACTTGGAGCCTAAAACCCAGGAGGTTAAAATAGCGACAGGATTTCCTTTATCCAAAATAACCTCAGAAATGTCTCTTCCATGTTAAAAGAGAAAAATGAGTGCTTCCCGAAGGAACTTTTGGATTTTGCCTAAACGACAAACCTGAATGGAAGGTCATCTGGAAAATCCATGGGGGAAAGTTCTGCACTGATGTAGTGATAGGAGCGGCGGGGCTGCGTCCCCGGCACCCAGCCGCCTGCATGGCTAGCTTATGCCCGAAATAATTACATGGAAACTGTATTCTTTTAAACACTGCCTGGCCCGTTATCTGTAGCCTCTTACTGGCTAGCTCTTACATATTAATCTAACCCATTTCTAATAATCTGTGTAGCCCACAAGGTGGCTTACCAGAGAAGATCTTAACCTGCGTCTGTCTGGAGTGGGAGAATCATGGCGACTCCTGACTCAGCTTCTTTCTCCCAGCATCCTGTTCTGTTTTCTCCGCCTACCTAAGGGTTGGCCTATCAAATGGGCCTAGGCAGTTTCTTTATTAGTAAGAAATCACTCCCACATCACACTGAGCTGTGTGTCACAAACACAGATGGGGGGGGGGCTCATCAGCGAGGGTCATTTAGCTGTCTTTGCTTTGTCAGATCCCAGAGTGACCTACCTGGCACTGTGGCAGGGATCTTAAACATGACATATTTTGTCCTCCCGTTGTCCACGATGGACGTGCCCATGTTAAGGACGTTTCCAGCTGCATCATAATGAGGGTGTGCGGTCGCCAGGTTGACAGCCACATACTTCCGGTAATCAACCTGCAAAATACAATAGCCACTCCGTCTTCCAAAGAGGAGAACATGGGGTCCAAGTGTTGTTCTTTTTTAAAAATGCTGCAAGATCCCTGTGGCAGTAGGCAGCAGAAATGCTGTAGGTCCCAAATGGTGGTAGCGGGCCATGTGGTGGCAGACAGCAGGCCCTGGGAGCAGCCAGTCCCAGGCAGAGACAGCTGCTGGTCTCAGAGCAGTGGTGGCACATGGCGGGCGGGCAGAAGACAGAAACATGGATAGACGTGACATGCAGGGTGAGGTTGAATGTTTATTCAGGGGGTTATGGAGAAGGAAGGGTGAAGGGGGGACAGAGAGAGGGAGAGAGAGAGAAGAGGAGAAAGAGGCAGAGAAGTGGGGAGAGAGGCAGAAGCGAAGCTGCCTCTCAGAGAGGAAGATGGAAAAGAGAGAGAGCTCAGGCCGGAAGCTGGAGATCAGCCTGCCTCAGCGGATGGGGGAGGGAGTGTGTGTGGCTTGTCTCTTAAAGGAACCAAACCCAAAACACCAAGGAACACCTGACTAAGCCTGGGTCTAGAAAGGCTTATCTTTCTAGATCTGGGCACATCTTCCGATTGGAAAAGAAAGGAATACTTTGCCTTTAAAGAAACGTCTTAGCCAGGTGGTGGTGGTGTACACCTTTAATCCTGGCACTTGCAAGGCAGAGGCAGGAGGATCTCTGTGAGTTCTAGGCCAGCCTGGTCTCCAGAGCAAGTTCTAGGACGGCCAGTGCTACACAAAGAAACCCTCTCTGAAAAAAAAAATAAATCAAAACAACAAAAACAGAGATGGCTACTCTCATGCCCTGAGGTGACTTGGCACTAGGAGGTGCTTCTGTAGCTAATCAGGTCTGGGAAGCTAGTAGCGCGTGCGGGCATGTGTGTGTGTATGTGTGTTCCCATCCCACATTCTGGTCTTATCAGGATCTTCAGCATATAGTGACAGAAGGCTCACAACAATGATCAGGGCAGGGAAATTGTCATCTTCCAGCCAGTTTCAACTAGTGCTCTGTGCTGGTTTCATTAAGTCATTCAATTCCCCTCTGCTGGATCCACAGAGGCGGAAATGTTGCTCTCCAGGCCTCTCGGGGCATTACTCTGGAAACAGAGGCCATAACACCATTTACTAAAACCATGAATTCCACTAGCAAGTTGAACTATGAACCCTGCTCAGAACGAACCACAGATGAAGAACAATGGGATGTCCAGAGACTAGCTGTTTGTCCTTCTTCAGGACAACACAGCCAGCCAAGAGTTAGGTGGGACTCTGGCCCGGCCGGTATTTCCCATCATGCATCAGTTGGGCCCTTGCCACCTAGTTACACAGAACTGGATGTCATTTCCCAGTTAAGGAAAGTGTTCAATTTAGCAGATCGTTCAAATGCCTATGATAACACCGTGGCTTTGAGGAAGTGGCGGGAGCAAACTGAACCTGGGTCTATTGATTTTCATGAGAATATCGGCCCAGCCCTTCCCAGGAAGGCTTTGTCTGCAGGTGCCCTTGCTTTCTGAGTAATACCTCCCTCTGCAGGTCACTGCGGGTAGAACCCCTGGGTGCTAAGAGCCATGGCTATGACTCTGGCTTGTCTTCCAAATATACAGAGGGAAGTTCTAACCCCAGTGCTTGTGACTGTGACCTCACTTGGCAGTAGCATCTTTGAATGTATAATCAGAAGATGATGTCATACCATAGGAGAGTGAGCTGTGACCTCATGACTTGTGTGCTTATAGAACATGGGAAATTGAAGCATACAGACACAAAGGGAATAACACCACAGGATGGAGGAGATGGAGACTAAAGTGGTATGTCCAGGAGCTGAGGAACACTGAGGATTGGTGATAAGTCCAGGAGCTGGGAAATACAGGAAGGATACTCTCTTACAAACTACCAGACCCTGGCCCTGCCAACACTTTGGATTTAGAATTGTGGCCTCCATTTATGCAGACAGTAGATATCTATTATCTTAAATCACTTAGTCTGTGCCACTTTTAGGGATGGGGAGATGCTCTAAAGATTTATTTTTAAAATTATGTATGTATATTTGCATACATATGTGTGTGTGCATTGTGACATGTCTGTGCATGCACGTGTGTATGTGCACACCTATGAGTGCAGTACCCCTGTCGGCCAGAAGGGGGGGCATTGGATCCCTCAAACTGGAGTTAACAAATGGTTGTGATCCACCAACCTGGGTGCTGAGAACTGAACTCTGATTATCTTTAAAGGCAGTACATACTTTTAACCATGGGGCTATCTCTCCAGTCCTGGGGGGACACATGAGAAAGGCATTGTAAAGAGATTGTAAAGAGATTTTAATCTGTGGATGTCATAGAGTTTATCAGATAAGATAGCTACCGTGTCGGTAGGTGGAACCATCTTTAGGACCCCTATTGTGCATGTGTTCCACAGTTAACTGAACTATACTTAAACTGCACATGACTGGGCTGTATACAACAACCACCAGGAACCAGGACAGCCACAAAGACCCTACAGTTCCTTCTTAGATAGAACAACAAGCACCATGGCATCAGAGGAGGGGACCTTCCGGTAAGCTCCTCATAGGCAGCTTGCCCTCCCCCGGGGGTGGGGAGTGGGGTTCCTTTCTCGGGTCAGACGTTGGCACTGACTGTAAGCCTGTGATACCTTCTCCAGGGTCTCTAGAGTCTGGGGGTTAATCTTCCTGATGTAGTTGGTCTCTGTGGTGGCATAGAAGTCATCTCCGCACTTCATGATGTTGATCAGGCAGTTGTCTGTGAAATCGGGGATGGTGTGGGACAGGTAGGAGAAAGCTCTGGAAAGAGAGGGGGCTGGGTTAGTCTCTGTTCCCGCCTGGGTAGTTCTGCTCTCTGGGACTTGCCTTCTTATCATTTAATACGTTCTGCTTCAGCGATAGAGAAAAGTCTCTGGGTCTCTGTGGGCCACTTGAGGAATTTGGAGGACTCAGGTATCAGGTTCCCTACGCATTCCATAACATGGAGTCAGCCAGCAAGTGAAGTACTGGGGTAATGTGACCATATGACACCCCTTCTGCGTGTCAAAAGTGCAGGGGGTCTCTTCAACCGGAGCCAGCAGGAACTCATATGCTTTCAACTATGTTAAGTTGCCATGCAGATATCAGACATATACCCATAATACCACTCCCACCCGCCCACCCCCCTAACCCCCCTTCACCCCCCTACCCCGACCCCCACAAAAACCTAGCAAAACAGATCATCTCTGCTTTGGCAGAATCTGAGTCCTCATTGAACATCTTCATTTCTCAAGAAGTGATTTGGGGTTATTTTGTTTTTCTTTCAAAACAAGGTTTCATTTTTCCCAGGCTAGCCTCAAACCTGATATGTACACAAGGAGGTCCTTGAATTTCTGATCATCCTGTTGCCACCTCCTGAGTGCTTGGCTAGGCATGATCACACACACTGTAACCCAAGTGGAAACAAGATTGCGGGGGACTTGCTGGCTTTGTTTACTCCGACTTCAGTGAGAGACTGCCCCGGGCATGGGGCATTGGTCCGTCACATCTGGTCTAAGCGTGTGCTGGGATCGAACCCAGGACTTTGTGTAAACACTCTACTAAGCTACATCCTCAGCTCTGGAATTAGTTTTGGCAAAAAAGGAAAACAAACTCATGCTAGCGAAGACTCATGGTTCATTTTGCCAAACGCCAAACTGCAAACACGGGATGCAAGTGTTGAGTGGTGCTCCGCCTACTGGCAGAGGATGTAACTGCAGGGATTCTCCTCCAGGTGTGGTTCTGAAGCCCTTCCAGCCCACTCCCTTTTCTCTGTTGACGCCTCCCCCAGCTCAGCCCACCTGCAAGGGCGAGTCACTCTGTTCCGGGGATGGATGATGTCACCCTGGAAAAGCGGAAGCAGCCTTGGATCTTTGACCAATCCACCCCGAATCTTTCCATAGTTCTCTCCTGTCTGAAGTGTATCGGAAGGGAGATAGTGGCAGCAGGCCTGAGTCTAGCCAAGAATTTAATTGTCGAAGGTGTAACATACACATCTGTTTCATAGCCCAGATGGCTTCAGATGTGTCCCAGAAAAATCTCTCCTCCCCGTCATTCGTCAGCTTCCGACAACTGATCTCTCTATGCTCTGTGTGAGCAAAAACACACCTAGTCTTAATTTGTTTTTTTCTCCCTGAACAGAGAACACATTTATGAAACTTGTTTTTTGTAAAAAAAAAAAAAAAAAAAAAAGTGTGTGTGTGTGTGTGTGTGTGTGTGTGGTATGTGTGTAGTTCATGCACATTTGTGTGTGTGTGCGGGTACATGTAGCCATATGTGTTCACAGGGCCAGGGGAAGAGGGCAGGTGTCCTGCCTCTCACTCTTTACCATATTTTCTTGAGCAGATCTCCCGCCCATTAGACCTGGAGCTAGGCTGGCAGTTTGTAAATCCCTGCAACCCGCCTGTCTCCTTCTCACACGGTGCTGGGTTACATGCGTGTTTGTGACCACGCTTAGCTTTTACAAGAGTTCTGGCTCTTACTCACTAGCCACCTCCTCAGCCTACCTGGATCTAAACAAACAAACAAATAAACAAACAACTTCTTAACTTAATGCATCTTAGAATTTTTTTGTCCAGCATAGCTAGTGGTCTCATTTCTTTTTTGCCCCACTGAGGCATTCTCTTATACAGTTTTGCGGTCAGGTATTCAGCCAGATTTCTGGCAGTGACGTCAGGGTTCTGTGCAGCTTTTACCATAACAAATGACATCGCCAGGAATAACTTTGTCTGTCTGTCATTTCAGACACGAGCAAAGGGAACACACATTTGTAATTTTGACTGACAAGGTCCAAACACTCTCCCACCAATCAGGCAGGAGAACAACTGACAATTTGTCAACTGCTCTCTGCCTCTCTTGCCGTCAGTGATCAAGAATCACACAGCATCCACGGTGACAGGCCAGTCACGTGGCATTTTATCTACCCTGAAGAAAACTACTAGGGGAGAAAATATGGTCTGCTTTGACCATCAAAGATATCAAAAGAGCATGAAACTGGTTAAGATTCAGAAGGGAACATTACTTGGAAAAGATGTTTTTGCAGGGGTCTGGGTAGGCCATTGTTCCAAACTCAGACACCACGATTTTGTTGGCCTCGATGTTGGCGCTGTAGGTATCGCTCTGCAAGTATTTGCTCCTGTAGAAGACCTCCCCTGAAATAGAAGAAACAGACGCTTGTCAGCCTGGCACTTTCTGGGGCTTTGAAATTGGTGCCAGCCATTCCAGGGGTTTTCCTGGGGGCCAGGGGGAGGTGTGCCACCCAGACAAGCCTCTTTCCTGGGGGCCAGGGGGAGGTGTGCCACCCAGACAAGCCTCTTTCCTGGGGGCCAGGGGGAGGTGTGCCACCCAGACAAGCCTCTTTCATGCCAGTGCGTACTACAATAAGAAGAGAATTTGGAGCGGAAGTTCATTTACACACATTAAAAAATGTAGATGTTTCGCGTTCTCTGTGTGTGTGTGTGTGTGTGTGGGGGGGGTGTCTTGTGTAGCCCAGGCAGACCTTGAACTTGCTCTAGCCAAGGATGAGCTTGAACTCCTGACCTTCCTGCCTCTGCCTCCCAATTGCTAGGATGACAAGCATGTGCTGCCACGCCTGGTTTACGCGGTGCTGGGAATCAAACCCAGGACTCTGTATATGCTAGTTGAATATTCTACTAATAGCTGTATCTCCAGTTCACGCCACATTAGAGCCTCACTGGAGACTCTTAACGAGATGGTAAGTGTGTCCCTCTACTCCCCATTTCCACCCAGGAGCTGAGACCCAGGAACACCCAGTCACCTTGCCCAGTATGGCCTAGTCACGGGCAATGCTGTCCACCATGCTGGTGTCTGTCCAGGGAAGACACAGATTTAGAACACTGACTGGGAAGGTTGTCCTGACCCCTGAAGCCTCCTTCACAGCTGGGGGACCTACTTTCGGAAGCCTGGGTCAGAGCTTTCAGCCTCTTGGAGAAATATTTCATTATCGGTGGCATGTCCACCCACACACCCTGACACACACCACACACACTTGTGACCGCCTATTCCCCCATACACACGTACATCCACATTCCCCAACATGTGCTCACACACATGTGTACAAACCACACACAGTTGTGTGCGCCCACACTCAATACACACTACACGTACATCCACCATACCTACACCCTGACATGTATCACAGTCTACACCCAGCCCAACACACATCGCAAGACATGTGCACTCCCACACCCCCCAACATGCACATCTGCATGTATGCGCACACACACTATACACACTTGTGTCCACCCACACACTCTAACACACACCACACACACGTGCACACCACAATGCCCCATGCACATGCTGCATATACTCTCACACATATACATGAGCTTGCACACCAATATCCAGATCCCAGTGGGATGACTTTATCTCCTACAAACAGTTTCTTTGCTGATGGAGACCTGACATCACTCTCTGTCAGCACTTTAAACAAACAGTTCTATTTTGAAGTTTTTTAGATTTTGATGGAGGAACCTATTCTCTACCCTTTCCAGCTTCCTTCTTCTCTGCTCCTTCTCTTTTACCCAGTCTTCAATTGATTTTTTTTTTTTTTGAGACAGGGTCTCACTATGTAGCTCCAACTGTCCAGAAACTCATTTTGTAGATCAGGCTGGCCTTGAACTCACAGAGACCACCATGCTTAGTCCTCACTGTTTTTATTTATTTTTATTTTTTTTTATTTTTTGGTTTTCGAGACAGGGTTTCTCTGTGGCTCTGGAGCCTGTCCTGGAACTAGCTCTGTAGACCAGGCTGGTCTCGAACTCCCAGAGATCCGCCTGCCTCTGCCTCCCGAGTGCTGGGATTAAAGGCGTGCACCACCATCGCCCGGCCTCACTGTTTTTAAAGCATCAACTTCTAGTGGTCTCTTGTGAAGACCACCGACTATTTTTCTGCCTTTTCACTTTTAAAAATATTTATTTATTTTATGTGTGTGAGTGTTTGCCTGCATGTATGTATGTGTCCGTACGCACGCAGCTTCCATGGCAATAAGGAGGTCCTTTGGAACAGGCATTGTGGATGGCTGGGAACCATCACGTGGGTGCTGGGAACTAAAGCCAGTCTTCTGCAAGAGCAACAAGTGCTCTTAACCACTGAGCCTTCTCTCCAGTCCCCTTTCTTTTTTTGTTTATTTTTGTTTTTGTTTTGAGACAGGGTCTTACTATGCAGCTCTGACTGTCCTGGAATTTGCTGCAGAAGACGAGACTGGCCTGGAATTCACAGAGATTCTCCTGCTTCTGTCTCCCAAGTGCCAAGATGAAAGGTGTGCACCACCATGCCCATCCTGTCCCTCACTTTCTTAGAGAAACAAGTGGGCTACTAGATGATCAGACGGTTTGCAAAGAATGAAATGCCAACACGAAATGCCAGTGAGCATATGAAAAGATGTCCAATCTTACTAACCATCAGAGGAGTAAAAGTCAAAGCTACCCTGAGACGCTATCTCACCCCAGTGAGCGTGGTGGCCATGATCCACTCCTACAGAAATGAAAACTACTCCAACCACTTTAGAAGTCAGCTGAAGGTTTCTCAAAAACTAAAAATAAGGGCTGCAGAAAATGGATCCACAGTTAAGAGCTCTTGCTGTTCTTACAGAGGACCTGAGTTCAGTTCCCAGCACCCACATGGATGACTCCCAACCTCCTGAAACTCCAGCTTTAGGTGATCCAGTGCCCTCTTCTGGACTCCTAGGGTACTGCACACACATGCACATACCCATACACAGACGCAATAGCATACACATAGTTGAATTAAATCTTAAAAAAAAAAACCACAAAACTAAACTAAAACTAGATCTACCACATGACTCAGCTATGCCACTCCTGGGTATTTACCCAAAGCTCTCTAAGGCAACACATTCTGGGGTTACCTGCACACCCACATTTACTGCACCTCCATTGGCAATAGCTGTACATAACCCACCTAGGTGTCCGGCAACAGAAGACTGGATAAAGAAAGTATGGTTAGTGTATACAATTCCATTTTCTCTCAGCTGAAAAGAATGAAGTTCTGCCATTTGCGGGAAGATGGATGGAGGTGGGATTATTATATTAAGTAAATTAAGCCAGTCTCAGGAAGATAAATATTGGAGGCTTTTTCTCATTTGTGGTTCCTAGATCTTATATAGTCACATAAAATTACATATAATCTGGGGGGCAGGTTCAACATCTGATACATATACCTTTAGTTTATGATAACTAAAATAAATACAAGAAAAATGTCCAAAACAAAATGAACAACAACTCCCATTTTCTTCTTTACCTCCCAGAACCCAATTTCTCTGCACATGCTCTCTCTTCTGGACTAGGAAGGAAGGGGATCTGATATTCTGTGTTTCTGCCTCCACTGTTACACATTGGGGGACCACTGGAGGTCCAGTTGGCAATCTGACCACACGTAGAGGGTTGTGTGGAAAATGTGGGAGACTCTGATAGGAGAGGGCCCAGGACACATTGCCACGATGGTTATGGCAAGCAGTGTGCTCAGCTGGCTTATTTTCAGTCTGGCCTCCTGTTTTCATCAGAGACTTGTCTGAGCTCCCAGCCTGTCACCTTCTCTGTCTCGGCTCATCCCGCGGCAGATTTGATCATAAGATAAAATGACAAAGAACCTTGGGCGTCTTTCCAGGTTGTTTGCAGTAGACTGGGTAATGCCCTCCCCAAGATAAGTCCGCATCCAAACCCCTGTGGTCCCAGTGTGATGGAAGTCACTTTGTGGGTCTTACTCAGTTTAAGCATTGGGGTTATCTGACTGGTGATGATCTGATGGTCCTTCTAAGGGGGAGGTGGGAGGAGGGATGGTCAGTGAAGTTGTACTGATGAGTGGAGAGAGTGAGAGAGAGAGAGCAAGAAGTTGGGGAGAAAAGAGGAGGATGGGGTAGGAAGAGGAAGATAAGAGGAGGGAAGGGGGAGAAGGAAGAGGGAGGAGAGAGAAGGTGGAAGAGGAGAGGGGAGGGGAGGAGAAGGGAAGGAACATGAGTGGAGAAGAAAGAAGAGGAGAAGAGAAAAAGAGACTGAAAAATATCAAGATGCTATACCACTGGTTTGAGACGGGGATGGGGCCACAAGCCAAGGTACAGGCAGCTTCTGAAATCTTGCATAGCAAGGCAAAGGGTTCTCCCCAGAACTTCCAGAAGGAAAGCAGCCCTGCCAATACTTTGGCACTACTCCCAGCGTGATCAGTTTCAGACTTCTGACCCCACAAGACGGAAAGAGAACAAACTTCTGTTGTTACCATGGCAACAGAAAACTCACGCTGGGTTCTCACCATCTCTGATGGAGAAACTGTGGAGAAGGGCCAGGCCATCAAACCAATGGTTGTACTTGCTCTCCCCAACCGTGTGCATCCCAGGCCCATTTCGAAGCAGGGTCCCCTGCAGCCATGCTGGAATCTTGCCTGTTAAAAGATAAATTGATTAGTTGCCAGATTCCATGATCAAAGTGAAAAAAATCTCAAAAAGTGGGGGGGGGGGGGGGGAGGCGTTAAAAAGGAACTGCACACACAGGGTGGGTACCACTTCTCATTGTCTGTCTGTTTGCTCCACGGTCCTTTCTCAAAATGGTGCAATGGGACTGAGAGTTTGCTAGCGCTGAGGATGACCAAGAAGAATAGACACCGTCTCTAGCCTGAAGCTGCTCTCTGTCCATGAAGGAGACAGAAGAACAGATATTCCAAACACAATTCTCTGGAGGCAGCGCTGCAGCCCAGGGCTGCCCTGATAGCCTTGAGGGAGACTTTGCCTCACTAAGGCACGAAGAACACTCTAGAGGCTAGGGATGGCTCCCTTGGTAAAGCCCTTCCTGCACGAGCATGAGGATCTGAGCGTAGCTCCCAGATCCACATAAAAACTCAGGCATAATGGCACGCGCTTGTGATTCCAGTGCTGGGGAGGTGGGGACAGGAAGATCCCTGGGACTTGGCAACCAAACGGGCAAGCTCCGGGCCAGGGTGAAGACAAAGTGAATGGCAAGCTCCAGGCCGGGGATCTTGTCTCAAATAACAAACTGAATGGCATCTTGAGGAATGACATCCAAGTTTGACTTTTGTCCTCAAGAGTGAATGGCATTCAGAGGACAGCTTTCAGCGGTCAGCTCTCTCCTTCCTATGAAGAGCAAAGCATGGGGAGCAAGCCAGACAGCAGCATCCCTTTATAGCGTTATTCGTTCTGCATCAGCTCCCTGCCCCGTCTGAGTTTCTGTTCTGTCTGCTTCCTTTGATGGTGAACAGTAACATGGAAGTGTAAGTCAAATGAGCCCTTTCTTCTTCAAGTTGCCTTGGTCCTGGAGTTTCGTCACAGCTGTAGTAACCCGAATGAAGACATCTGTCTTATGAAAACTCGAGAGAATCTGGGAAGATGGCGCAGTGGTTGAGAGCACTCACTGCTCTTCCAGTTCCAGAGGACCTGAGTTTGATTCCCAGTACCCACTGTAGCTCATAACCAACTGTAACTCCAGCTCCAGGGGAGTCTAACACATCTGATCTTCCCAGATACCTGCACTCATATTTACACACCCAAACACGAGTATAGACACATATAAATGATTAAAGATAATAAAAGCTTAAAAAACACTTGAAGGAAATATACTCAAATAATGATGCCTTAAATTTGTCTTTTATATATCTTAATATTTACCTCTTACATATAATTGAACATATATCCATTGAATAGTACTTTGAGAATCATAGAAAATATATAAGAAAGCTGGGAAGGCTCCCATCAACTTCTAAGGCGACCCTGCAGTTGGAAAACTCCACCCGAGGGCCAAAAAATGGCACAGCAGGTGAAGTCACTGGCACCCAAGCCTGACACCTGGGTTCGATTTCTGGGACCCACATGGTGGAAAGACCCCACTCGTGTGAGGTGTCAGCAGTCTCCTTGTTTACACTGTGGCTATCTCTCCAGGCACTCTCCAGGGGACAGCGGGAAGGGACGGCTCTCTCCCTGGAGACGAAGTTAGCATCTGCAAACTCACCCAGGTTCCCACAGAAACGGTTTGGGGATCTTGCCTTATCTTGTTCTCATGCATGGGTTTTCAGGCTTCCAAAAGCAACTTGTAAGACAGAAAAAGAGATGCCCATCTAAGCATAGATGTCTTACCTGTCACTCTGGCCGACACTGGCTCCAGCTGCTCTTTCTTATTCCTGCCAAATATTATCTCCATGGGACTGGCGGATGGCAGTGAGGAGGACGTTACTGGAGCAGACCTGACGTCCCGTGTGCTTCTGTCTTCCTGCCCTCTGTTCCTTTACGACTTCATCTGTCCCTCTGTCCCTCTCTCCCTCTCCTTCCTTTCTCTCTGCAGGTCTGTGTTTCTGCCTGCTGCCGGAAGCTACTGGGTAATTTATACGATGTTTGGTCAAAGGTCAGTTCCCAAGCCATGTGTTACGGATAATCTTTAATCCCGTTAGTGTTTTTCCAACTCTTCCTCTCCGCTTTCACTTTTGGCTTAACCAAGGAAGGCTCTGATTTAAGTGGGCGGAGAGGATTCAGTGCATCCGCTGAGATAGGTTGCCTGAGCTAGCCCATCCTGAGAACTGGATGTGTTTATGGTTGGAGCAGGGAGATATTCAAGACCAGCAAAGGCTTTTCAAGCTGGGGAGCCATCAAATGCATCGATCACATTATTGCATGGTGTGGGTTGGTGACAACCTCACCTTCTAGAAATGAATGTGTGTGTGTGTGTGTGTGTGTGTGTGCGCGCGCGCACGCGCGCGCGCATACGCACATGTGGGTATGTGTTTGACCAAGGACCTAGTTCCTTCTCACTCTTAGAAATCACATGAATGGACAGTTGATTGGCTTTCTTTTGGAAAAAGGGGACAAAAATGTGTCACGTACCTATTTAAAAAACAAAGACAGGGAAGAAAAGGCTGCCATCAGGAAACAAGGAATAATTAAAACACCGAACAGCTTCAGGGGCTGGGGACAAGGCTTGATGTGCAAGCATGAGGACCTGCGTTCCACCCAAAGCCTCTATATAAATCCCAGCACTGTCAGAGCGAGAGCGAGAGCGAGAGCGAGAGCGAGAGAGAGAGAGAGAGAGAGAGAGAGAGAGAGAGAAGGATCCTTGGGGCTCCTGGACAGCCAGTCCAGCTGAAACCCTTTGATTAAACTTGGGCTGTCAAGAGGGAGAAACCATAGCCGTCTGTGGCTCTAGGATGTCCCCGATGTTCACATCTATGAGCCATTGATACGATGCTATTGCCTGAAATCTACGTTGACTTTTCCAGGGCTCTGGGTGGGAGTTGGTGAACTCACAATGCCCGCTGCTCAGAATGCTGCCTGAGTGGGGAGAACAACAGAAGGCCGAGATTGACCTGGGTTCCACACTACACAGCACGTACAGGGGTCAAAGCACCATGGGGCACTGCGCATGTGTACAATTTCTCTGCTTTTATGTGATTTTTGAAATAAAGATGACTTGGGGTGGGCGAGATGGCTTGTTCAGTAAAGTATTTAACTTGCAAACATGAGGCAGACCTAAGTTCAATCCCCAGAACTCATTTTACAAAAAAAAAAAAAAGAAAAGAAAGAAAGAAAAGAAAAGAAAAGAAAAGAAAAGAAAAGAAAAAAGAGCCAGGCCTGGTTGGTACTACCTGTGTATACTCTCAGTGCTACAGAGGCAGAGGCAGGTGGTTCCCTCGCTGCTGGCCAATTGCTTTAGCCTACTCGGTGAATTCCAGGCCAAGAGGGGACCATGCGTCAATAAATAAGGCAGATGGTACTGGAGAAGGCAACTGTCAAAACTGTCCTCTGGCCTACACACGTGATTACATTACATGTGAATGCACACCCGATCATGTAATGCACACCCGTTCACCTGCCAACACACACACATACACACACACACACACACACACGGTTTGGGGAGAGAGGGAGAGAGGAGGCCATAGTGTCTGCCTTCGCATACCCAGCTGTGGAGGAGGGTGGGGGCTGAGCTGAGAGTGTCTTCAGGGTACCAGAGAGTTCTAGAACAGGCTGTGCTTCCTCCCCTGTCTGCATATTGCCGGCGCCTAGTGAGAGCTCGCAAAGTGCCTGTGCTGGGCTGGGCTCCAGACCCTCTGACTCAGAATCTCAGCGGAGCCGGAGAGCGGTGTTTTCTGTCTCCAGACGACTCTACTGGGCACAGCTGGAGCTGAGGAGCCCATTGGCAGGAAGAATGGAGATCTTGACTGGCACCCGGCTGGCGTGTCTGAGGTCATGCCACAGTCTCTGAGCCTCCTTTCCCCTCACTATGCAGTAGGGTGCGATGACATGGGAATCCCAAGGCCCATTATCTTTTCTGTCTTCTCCTAGAAAGCATTTCCCTCTGCCCCACATTTCCAGGAAGTCCCTTGATAACCTATCTCTTTATGACGCTGTCATGTCCAAACCCATGCGTCCACGCCAGAATTATTTATTCCAGGCTGTGAAAGCTGTATCCTTCCTTGGACAGGTATCTGGGATGCATCAACGGATCAGGGGAGAAATTACAGTACTGGGGGAGAAGGAGGAGCTTCCGATTAAAAGATAGAGGACTTGGGTTTGAAACTCAGCCTGAGCTTTAGTAATTGTGGCCCTGGGCGTAGTGATATTTCATTTGTATTTTAATAAATAGAGCTTGCCTGAAGATCAGAGACTAAAACAGCCACACTGGTCAGCCTTACAGGCCAGGCAGTGGTGACACATGCCTTTAATCCCACTAGCCACACTAGTTTGCCATAAAAGCCAGGTGGAGCAGTGCACACCTTTAATCCCAGCACTAGAGAGGATTATAAAATGGGAGAAGACAGCTCTCAGTCAGTCTCATTCCGAAATTCCTGAAGGCAGGATCGCCATTTCGGACTGCGGTCGAGATAAGAGCCAGTGGCTGGCTGCGTTACTTCTCTGATCTTTAGGCTGAACCCCAATATCTGTCTCTGGATTTTTATTAATTGCACTACACCTAAGGGAGCAAGGTGACTCAGTCTGTAAATGCTCTTTCCTCCGAGTTTGATGACCTGGGTTCAATCTCCAGGACCCCCGTGGTGGAAAGAGAGAACTGACTCCTGTAAGCTGTCCCCCTGCCTCCGTCTGTGTCCTACCCATCTACACCTGGGAAACGAGGCTAAAAGCTGAATTGACTGCTTATTATCAAACAAAACCCATGCACAAACATCACAAGACAAAATGGGGAATTCAAACTGAGTCACCAGCAGCCACCGCCACTTGTGTGTGTGTGCATGTGTGTGCATGGGTGTGTGTGTGTGTGTGTGTGTGTGTGTGTGTGCCTGGTCTATAGAGTGACTCGCAGGACAGCAGGAGGGGTAGAGACAGGGGGATTCCTGGGGTTCACTGGCAAGCCAGACTAACCTACTTGGTGAACGCCAGGCCAAAGGGACCCTGTCTCAAAAATCAAATGAAACCTCACCCAAGATTGATTTCTGGACTGTACATACGTGTACTCACTCATACATAAACACATACATGTTCCTAAAATTCCTTCCATGAGGGAGATGCCCACATTGGCAAACCCAGGGGTTGTTTCACCCTCGTTCACTCTGGGGAACCAATGAGTATATCAGACTGACTTTCAGAGCACTGGATAAGGGATTACAGTTACAGGCAGGGTGGGTGACCTTAAAGTGGCCACCCTAGAAGGTCAGTCCCCAGGTGATGGAGCTGTCTCCTCTAATCCCCACCTACATCCTTCTGTCCTTCTCGGAGGCCTTGAGGCCATGTTCAGTTAGGGCATAATTGCACCCAACTGGTTGGGAGGGGTGGCTGGATACTCCACTGAGGGTGTCCCAACCCTCCCTGTCCTCTGCTTCCAAGAAGGGACGTTGACGGTCAACAAGCCCAGCTGTGATAATCCTTTTGGGAACAGGCCCATCCTGAAGATGGTGCCAGTTGGACTCAGAGGATAGTCCTGTACAACAACAATAACAACAACACACACATAGACACACACAGACACACACACAAAGTAAAAGTTGAAATCAACAAAAAAATACAAATTGTGTTATAAAAATCCCAACAGTCTTATTTTGCAACTCTTTATCTCTTGCCAAAAGTCACAGCCCATCGCGAGTGACTGTTTCCCGGTAGGAGATAGTGCTATCATATCTAAATTATTTTGCAGCTTTCCAATTAAGTTAAGTTCTAGATGGTGCTGCTAATTAGCTGGGCGATAAGCTAGGGAGATAAGGTCCCGGGGTGATTAGCTGGGGAGATAAGGTCCACATCTTGGTTTTCAGGTTTAAAGGTGAAAGGCAAAGTCCCCGCAGAGGCAGCAGTTGCCCTTACTTATGGAGAACACCGTGTGTGGCACACGGTAAGTGTTCTGTAGCTACGCGGTGAACAGACACGCGTGGATCTCATCTTGCTGTGGCCACTGCACTTGGGTCCTTGGGTGTCCCGTACAGAGCATCACAAAATGGTCAGCTTAAAACCAGGAACTGACCTTCTGTTCTGGAGGCCACACGCTGGAGATGAAGGTGTCAACAGGGCCGTGACCTTTTGGAGGGCTCTGATGGTTGGCCTTTTTGTGTCCCCCAGGTTCTGCCATGTGTATGCGATCTTGGTGGTCCTTGGTGTACAAATGCAGTGCTGAACTGTGTGCCTCCCTGTCCCTGTGGTGTTCTTTCCTCCGTGTCTTTATGACCAAGTTCACTGTCAGGGCTCTGGTCACTGTGCTAGGGCCCATTCTACCCCTCCATGGAGCCTCATCCCAGCCTGATGCCATGGCAAAGCTGGCTCCAAATGACGCTACACTCAAACAGGCGACCATACAGCGGATCTTTTTGAGGGATGCAACTCAACCCACAACAGTGAGAAAGCAAGGACAAGGTAAAAATGGGTGAAGGCAATTCTAGATTCATCTTCACAGCCAGATGTTTTTGGCTTCTCCATAGCTTTCTCCTGTCCTCTTTGAGAGCTTTGAGAGCTTTGAGAGCTTGCTGATACCTTCAAGTCATGCCAAGATGGAAGAAGATCAGGCTGCTCGGAGGACAGGAAAGGAGAGTCAGTTAGCTCTCATAAGGCCTTAGTAGGCCTCGGGGGAAGGGGTCCGTGTTAGAGCTGTTCTGGAGAAAGAGCATGGATACACAAGCATTGAAGAGACAACCTTGGCCAAGGAAACAGCATGTCCAAAGGCTGGGGTGAGGCCATGTGTGATAGACCACTCTAGGGTGACTGGGGTGCCTGTAGTTTACCAATGAGAAGCAAGGCTTTGGTACTGCAAGATCCCCTGTTGCCAACCTCCACCTTTGTCACATTCCCTATCTCTGAGTGTGTGTGTGTGTGAGCGTGTGTGTGTGCGTTGCACACATGTGTGTACAGGTAAAGACCAGAAGACAACCTTGGATGTCATTCTTCA